GAATCTTCCTCTCCAGAGAGCTCTCCCTCCGATGCAGTGATCGACATCTGGTCGTCGGGAGGAGCACTGAAGGATACCGCTGGTACGCTCTTTAAAGAGGGCCCAGCGCATTCCTTTGGCGGCTCAATTGGTTGCGAAGCGCTAGAGGAGCGATGGTCCCCCGAGGGTTGGTTCCCTGAGGGGTTTGCCACCACTGTAACCCTCAGACCGCCCGTGCTACTGCCCGAAGTAGTCCACGCCTGGCTTCCACCAGAACAAACACTAGATCGCGGCAGAGGAAACGGAGCTAGGCCCGCAGCTCCGAGATGGTCACCTTCCCGCAATGGGAACATGACTCATCCGCGAACGCCACCTCAGCGTGTTTAATGCCCAGACACGTGAGGCAGCGATCGTGACCATCACCCGGCGCTAGGTAACGACCAGAATCCAGAAACATCCAGAAACACACGGGTGAAACAGCATCTTAAAAAGATGATCCGTCGTCTTTACAAAGACGCACCCGCTTATTGTACTCTTTTAGAGAAATTGTTCTTTTAGGGAATTGCTCTTTTAGTGCTGAGGCACACAGGGGAAATGACCGCTTGCAGCACAACAGGGGTTAGTGCAGCCTGAAGTGCGCAACCCACTCGACACAGGAACGACCACCTCTGAAGCGCCGTCCGCCAACACCAGAAGCTTCCAAGAGCGCGTTGAACTCGTAGCTCACTGAAGACACTTGGATGGAGCAGAACGATGTTGTCGCTCGGCTCCGAAGTGAAAAGCTGGTATGCATTGCAACGGCTGACTTTTTATGCTCACGCTGTGATCAGCGGCAGCTGGATGCAATAACTGCATGCCAATGTGCATTGGCTCATTTAGTTACACTTGAAGTAGATTGGTCTCTCGAAGCGAGATCCCAATTCGTCAGTCACGACGTGACTCGTAGTGACCGACTGAAAGGGAACCCTGCTTTACTGACAAGCAGCACATGTAAAAAAATCGCAGCCTTTGCCAAATCGCGATTGCAGTTTAATTCCGATTAATCGTGCAGCCCTAGTCTTAAGAGAACGTGAACAGTTTGGAAAGAAATAGGATTTCCTAGCAGCCCAATACAATAAACCTGCAGCTGTCTGTCAAACAACAAAAGAAAAAGAGAAAACCACTCACTGCTCTTGACTGACTAACCTTTGTAGCTTTATTATGAATCAATGTATATTAATTCATGTGAAGACTATGCAGTGTTTTAGTTTTACATTTGATTATTGAGTTTCTGTATTGTTTCTTAATTGAATGCTACTGTTAAATATATCTAATGTAAGCCTGCCTGAAAGTTAAAGCACTATCACTTTCAGAAGTTGTAGTGAAGCTTTCTTTTCCAAGAAAGAATATGAAACATATACATTGGTTATATAATTTTTAGTATTTAAATATTTTTTAATATTATTTAAATAGATTTCACTTAAAGCAATATCGTATCGCATATCGAATATCACATGATTTAACATATTACATATCGCATTTTTCTTCAATAGGCACAGCCCTACTTTAGATTGTTAAAATATTCCTAACACTAATAAATAAATGTTTCTTTTCAGAACTGTTCACTGAAAGGTTTTTCGGGGAACCCAAAATTGTTCTTCTATGGCATCACGACTGATTTCATAGAGAACTGGATTGCTCATGACATCATAAAAGTGAAGCCACCATGCCGCCATATTGGTATTACCTAGTATTCCCATACATTCTATTGAATTAATAGGAAATCGTACGATTTTAATAACAAAACATCACCTAACAAATCAGCGTTTTTTATACCTTAAGCATCCCTGTACATTCTTACAATGCAAAGGTCCAATGCATGTAAATGGTGTTTTGCTTAATGTCAGGAATTTCCCCTGCATAAAAAGTAGTTCATATACAGACGAACGTCAGACGTCAGACGAACATGATAAATATCGGACGGATGAGGTCCTCAACATATGTATTACAAATTTTGTATACACAAAGTGTTCATTCTGAAATCTGAATAAATATTTATGCTTTGTATGCAAGAGTGCATTGTTTATTTATCATAAAAGTTGATCTGTCCATTTTATGGTAATTTACCAAGTTTAATGTAAGAAAGCGACTATTAAAAGGAAATTGAAAGTGAAAAAGTGAAAGTGACGTGACATGTGGCCAAGTATGGTGACCCGTACTTGGAATTAGTGCTCTGCATTTAACCCATCCAAAGTGCACACACACAGCAGTGAACACACACACACACCGTGAACACACACCCAGAGCAGTGAGCAGCCATTTTTGCTGCGGCGCCAGGGGAGCAGTTGGGGGTTCAGTGTCTTGCTCAAGGGCACCTCAGTCGTGGTATTGAAGGTGGGAGAGAGCGCTGTACATTCACTCCCCCCACCTACAATCCCTGCCGGTGCGAGACTCGAACCCAGGAAGGAAGGAAGGAAGGAAGGAAGGAAGGAAGGAAGGAAAACAATGAAAGTAAGGAATGGAAAATGAAGGGAGGAAAGAATAGAAGGAAGGAACCTTGTGGTTGCAGTGTGAAAGAAAACCAGATGAAAACTAGTCTGACAGTCAGCAGTGCTTTTAGCAGTGGGCGACATGTTTGTTCACAAAGTTGAAGAATACATTTTTTACCAGTGTAGAGAGCTCTGTGTGTGAATATGAATCTAGTGCACATGTGCTGGCAGTTTCACGTGGCCTAATTGTGGGTAGGGTGGAGTCTCTCAGAGGACTGAGATGGATGAGAGTGTTATTTAAATGGATGTTCTCATTTCACAAATGAAGTTTGTTTGGCAAAAGCAGGACAGCAATTCACCGACATGTAGAAGCACAATTACAACACTCAGAGCTTTAGATGAGTCTTTTGAAGAACTATAGAGAGTGCAAACACATACACTGACACACACATATACATGTGATCCCAGATTAGGAGAGGTCACTTGTCAAATTCTCAGTTAAGAACTCTAGGATGGTGCTAATGTGTCATGTCATGGCTTTCTCCCCATCCTTTTCCAATTCTTTCCAATCCCAGCGGACACAAGGAGCCTGGAGTGAAATGGAGGGGGGCACTTACCCGCCACATAGACTAGGAAGGAAAAAAGGAAGACCAGAACAGTTTCCATGGCAACTGCAATGGGGGGAGAGAGAGAGAAAGAGAGAAAGAGATAGTAAATAGAGTGAAAATCAGTGTTAGTGGGTTACATGCTTACCACATTCAGAAAGACTAGAGAGTTCTCACAAGCTCACAGTATACATAATCACAATTACGCTCTGTCCTTGACTGGCATATTGTCATTGTACCTATGCAATAGCGCAATAGTCAGACAGCCTGACAGCATCAGGATGAATTTAAACTCCCCGTAGACTCATAAATCACAGAAAAACATCTTGTGGTTTTTGAAATCTGTTCCTTGCATAAACATTTTTTGCCATTCTATGATACAGTATTGTAATGATAAAGTTGTCATGCAACAGACAGGATTTGGGTCGTATGTCCAAAATCTTTTATCACATTTTGAGTAATTCGGTATATAATTTACAATATAAAAACAGACACTATCTTTCAAAAGTTTGGGATCGGTACGATTATTAAATGTTTTTTTTTTTGTGCGGCACTTATGCTCACCAAGTTTGCATTTATCAAAAATACAATAAAACTATAATATTGTGTACTATTACAAAGTTAAAATAACTGTTTTCTGGTTTAGTATATTTTAATTTATCATTTATTTTATAATTTATTATTTAATATATTTTAACTTGTAATTTATTTCTGTCATGCAAAGCTGAATTTTCATTGTGCTGCTTTTTTTCAGGATTATTTAATAATAACAATAATGATTATTTTTTTTTTTTATTTTATTTTTTTTTTTTTGCGCAAACCTTGTAGTTATGGTTGGTTGAGTAAGTTGAGTGTGAGAACAAAAAGTCAGTGTCAAAATTAAAA